ACCCTGTCTCTACTAAAAATACAAAAAAATTAGCCAGGCATGGTAGCAGGTGCCTGTAATTCCAGTTACTCAGGAGGCTGAGGCAGGAGAATCTCTTGAACCCAGGAGGCAGAGGTTGCAGTGAGCCGAGATCATGCCATTGCCAGCCAGGGTGACAGAATGAAGAATGAGACTCCATCACAAAAAAACAAAACAAAACAATCAAACAAACAAAAAAAACACACTTGAAGCTGGAGAATAATCTCTTTTGACTCCATGCTGGCATCCTGTGAACACTGAGGTAGGGAGTGGGTCTACAAAACACTGGGCAATCTCATGCCTATGGCTTTGCTTATTGTAGTCCATGTGGCTACTCTCACAGGTCGGAGTCAGGTGCCTGCAGCTTTTCCAGGCTGGTGTTGCATACTGGTAGCTCTACAGTTCTGGGGTCTCAGGGTGGTCCTGCCCCTGTGGCTCCAGAGTGCACTGCCCTGGTGGGAACTTCCTGTAGCAGCTCTGGTCCCACATTTCCACTCAGCATTGCGCTAGTAGAGGGGTTCTCTGCAGTGGCTCTGCCGTTGCAGTAAGTCTCTGCATGGGCCCACAGGCTGTCTGATACGTCCTTTGAAATCTAGGTGGAAGCTGCTATGCCTCACAGCTCTTGCTGTGTGCCTGCAGAATGAGCACCATGTGGAGGTCACCAAGGCTTACTGCTTGTGCCTTCTGGAGTGGGGGCATGAGCAGCATCTGAGACCACTTGTGTCACTGGATAGTGCTACAAAGATTTACAACTTGGACCTTTTGGAGTGGCAGGTCGAGCCACACTGGGGGCCACTTGAGCTAGAGCTACCTGAGCAGCCAGAATGCCAGGAGTAGAGGCCCAAGGCAGCCCAGGGCAGCAAGTCCTTAGAGAGTGCCCTGGGCTTATCCCTTTCAACCATTCTGCCATTTTAGGCCTCTGGGCTTGTGATGGGAGGGGCAGATTCAAAGATTTGTGAAATGCCTTTGGGATCTTTCTCCCATTGTTCCGATGAATAATCTCTGGCTCATTTCTAGCCATATTAATCTCTTCAGCAAACAGTGGCTTGGTCGCGCCCTTCGTTTCCTCTGCTGAAAATGCTCTTTCATTCTCTATCACATGTCTAGGCTTAGAGTTTCCCAAATCTTTCTGCTTTGCTTCCCTTTTGATTACAATTTCTGTCTTTAAGTCACTTATTCCTTCTTGCAGTTTAATGTAAGTGGTTAAAAGTAGCCATGCAATAGCCTGAATGCTTTGCTGCTTAGATATTTCTTTCGTCAAATATTCTAATTCATCATTCTTAAGTTCAGCATTCCCTGGAATTGGTAGCTGGGAGTAGGGTGTTGCTATAAAACACCCAGCCTTAGGCATGGACACAATCCAGCCAAATTCTTTGCCACTTTCTAAGAAAGGCTTTTACTCCAGTTTCCAACACCTTGATCTTCAGTTCCATCTGAAATCTCATCAGAATGGCCTTTACTGTCCATATTTCTATCAACGTTCTGGTCATGACCACTTAAGTAATCTCTAGGAAGTTCCAAACTTTCCCTAGTCTTCTTGTCTTCTAATCCCTAATGAGAATCTAGGTTTTTTCTACTCTGCTCCTCCAAACTCTTCCAATCTTTGCCCATTATCCAGTTCCCATGCAGCTTCCACATTTTCAGGTAACTTTATACCAACGCCTCACTCCCAGTGCCAGTTTTCTTGGCCCATTTTCTGTTGCTATAACTAAATACCTGATACTGGATAATTATGAAACAAAAGAAGCTTATTTCTTATGGTTTTGGAGGCTAGAAAGTCCATGGTCAAGGGGCACATCTGGCCAGGGCCTTGAAGCTGGTGAAAGCTCTGCAGAGTCCTGGGGCAGCGCAGGGCATCACATGGCAAGTTGGCTGAGTGTGCTCAGATGCTAACATGCTAGCTTACGTCTCTCTTCCTCTTCTCATAAAGCACCAGCTCCACTTCCATGATAACCCATTTGCCCATTAACCCACAAATGAATTAATCTTTGTGAGGACTCTGCACTCTTAAAGGCCAAACACCTCTTAAAGGTCCCACCTCTCAATACTGCCACATTGGGGGTTAAGTTTCAACAGAAGTTTTGGAGGGGACAAATTTTCAAACCATAGCACCTATGTGAATTTTATGTTCCACAAACTAATGTATATATTTCAGTTCACTCATGTAATCACTATTTTCAACTAACGACATTTTAAATGTTGTACTCGTATAAAACAATTTCAAGTATTTCAAATTTCATTTTTAAAAATCTTCCCTCCCACTGGCCGGGTGCGATGGCTTATGCCTGTAATCCCAGCACTTTGGGAGGCCGAGGCAGGCGGATCACGAGGTCAGGAGATCGAGACCATCCTAGCTAACACGGTGAAACCCTGTCTCTACTAAAAATAGAAAAATTAGCCAGGTGTGATGGCGAGTGCCTGTAGTCTCAGCTACTCGGGAGGCTGAGGCAGGAGAATCACTTGAACCAGGGAGTCAGAGGTTGCAGTGACTGGAGATTGTGCCACTGTAGCCCACCCTGGGGACAGAGCAAGACTCCGTCCCCGCCCTCAAAAAATAAAAAAAATCTTTCCTCTTACAATGCCTAGAGACTTGGAAAAATACATTCATAATTTAAAGAGAGTTAACACTTACTGAGATGTATGCACTATATTACACACTACTCTAAGTGGCTAACATGTTGTGTTGGCTAATTTTATGTGTCAACTTGAGTAGGCCACGGGGTACCAGTTTAAACATTGTTTCTGGCTGTGTCTGTAAGGGTGTTTCTGAATGGGGTTAGCATTGGAACTGGTGAACTCAGTAGACTGTCCTTCCCAATGTAGTTGGGCATTATCTAATACATTGAAGGCCTGAATAGGACAAAAGGTAGAGGGAGGAATTCACTCCTTTTTTCTTGCCTCACTGCTTGAGCTAGGATATCTCATCTCATCTTCTTTGCCCTCCGACTGGATTTACATCATAACTCCCCTGGTTCTCAGGCCTTTGGACTCAGACTGATTCACACCACTGGCTTTTTTGGGTCTTCAGGTGTTCAGTTTGCAGATGGCATTATCATGGGACTTCTCAGCCTCCAGAACTGCATGAGCCAATTCCAGATAATCTCTCTCTCTCCTATTGAAGAACCCTGACTAATACATGTTATTTATTCATTTAATCTTCTCAACCTCCCTGTGAAGTGAAAGTGAGACAGCAATAATATAGGGTGGTCACAGAAGAGCAGAAAATTCCAGGCAGCAGTTTTACATGATTAGCAAAAAGGAAACTGTTGAAATGGCGGCATAAACTAGGGGCTGATAAGATCCTGAAAAACCAGGGTGTGAGCCAAGTTGGCTAAGACTGGCTGGTCCCAGCATGGCACTGGATATGACCTAGATTTCACCTAGGACCTCATTAACATACTAAAGCACACATAGACCAGTGCCGCGACTGTTCTGTGAACACCTGTATTTGGTGTAAAAGTCGGTGGCACCACAATTCCAAGAAATCTTCACCTTTTTCCAGGAATCTTCCAGAATATTCCACCTCTTGGTTATAGAAACCCATAAAGGTAGAAGCCCTAAACTCCACTGAGTCACTCTCTCTTGAGTATGCCCACACTCCCCTTTCTTGAATGTATACTTTTCTTTTTTTTTTTTTTGAGGCAGGGTCTCGCTCTGTCACCCAGGCTGGAGTGCAGTGGCACAATCTTGGCTCACTACAACCTCTGCCTCCCGGTTCAAGTGATTCTCCTGCCTCAGCCTCCCAAGTAGCTGGGATTACACGCTTATGCCACCACGCCCAGCTAATTTTTGTAATTTTAGTAGAGATGGGGTTTCGCCATGGTGGCCAGCTGGTCTCGAACTCCTGACCTCAGGTGATCGACCCTCCTCGGTCTCTCAAAGTGCTGGGATTACAGGCATCGAATGTGTACTTTTCACTTTGCAATAAATCTCGGTACTTTCACTAGTTTCTGACTTGTCCTCGAATTCCTTCTCAGAATGGTATCAAGAGCCTGGACATCAGCTGGAGTTAAGGTCCCACCAGCGTTTGGGGATCTCCCGCAGCCCACCAGTATCAAACGTATTATTATCTCCAACTTACACATAAAGATATTGAAGCACAGAGAAGTTAAATAAATTATCCAAGGTCACATAGGTAGTTAAGAAGTAGAGTCAGAATTTGAACCCAAATAATTGGGTAAGTAATTAAGTAACTGACTCCAAGTTAAAGATTTTCTGTTACTATTGTGGCCTTCTCAAACTATAATGCATTATTTAACTCGCATGTTAAAAACCACTAACCCCTAGCACACAGCAACACAATCATTTTTAAAAAATTATTTTATTTATGTGTGCATTTTATAAGCAACTGATTAATTTAAACTGAAAAATGATGAAGGCCTACAGCTCTAAGAATCATTTCTAGGCTGGGCAAGGTGGCTCATGCCTGCAATCCCAGCACTTTGGGAGGCTGAGGCAGGTGGATCACCTGAGTTCAGGAGTTCAAGACCAGCCTGGTTAACATGATGAACATGATAACACCTTGTCTCTGCTAAAAATACAAAAATTAGCCAGGTGTGATGGTGGGTGCCTGTAATCCCAGCTACTCAGGAGGCTGAGGCAAGAGAATTGCTTGAACCTGGGGGGCAGAGGTTGCAGTGAGCTGGGATAGTGCCACTCCACTCCAGCCTGTGTGACAGAGAAAGACTCTGTCTCAAAAAAAAAAAAAAAAAAAAGTCAAGAATCATTTCTATATTCATTAAACTAACATATGTTAATGAAAGAATACTTTTCCTTTCCTAATTTTTTTTTTTTTTGAGACAGAGTTTCGCTCTTGTTGCTCAGACTGGAGTGCAATGGTGCGATCTCAGCTCACCGCAACCTCCACCTCCTGAGTTCAAGCCATTCTCCTGCCTCAGCCTCCAGAGTAGCTGGGATTACAGGCGCACGCCACCACATCTGGCTAATTTTGTATTTTTAGTAGAGGCAAGATTTCTCCATATTGGTCAAGCTGGTCTCCCTTTCCTAATTTATAGCAGCATATTTTCTTCCAAAGCCATCATATATATATTTAAACACATTATGGAAACTCACAACATAAAGGATATAAAGAAAGAAAATGATCAGAAATAAGTTAATTCAGATGTACATATTCAGAAAACAAAATTGAGGTTAAAGAAGATGCGACTTAAAAATCAATACAGCGTCCTTTTCGTTCCCAATCTCCATATCGGGTAGGTTCTGGGCCCCTGGGTCCACCTTTTTCTTTGGTCACTGGATTAACATCATCTGGAAATTCTAAGGAAAATGAGATGTAAACAAAGCAGTTAATGGAGGCAGGAAAGGCCTTATAGTCAATCTTATTTTATTTATTTATTTATTATTATTATTTTTTTTGAGACAGAGTCTCCCTCTGTCGCCCAGGCTGGATTGCAGTGGCATGATCTGGGCTCACTGCAACCTCTGCCTTCTGGGTTCAAGTGATTTTTCTGCCTTAGCTTCCTGAGTAGCTGGGATTACACACACATGCCACCATGCCCAGCTAATTTTTGTATTTTTAGTAGAGACGGGGTTTCACCATGTTGGCCAGGCTGGTCTCAAACTCCTGACCTCAAGTGTTCCGCCTGCCTGGGGCTCCCAAAGTGCTGGGATTACAGGCGTAAGCCACCAAGCCTGACTATGGTCAATTTTAAAGACAGGGTTGCATGATAGGCTAGATCTTAGTAACCTGGTTACCATGCAGTCTTTAAATGAACTGTAAATGTGATTCTTTTTCCTGAGTTTGAGAAGAGAATACAGAGTACAAATTCATAAGACTTGAAAGGTCTTGAAATAAGACTACTTTGAAGGAATCACTTTGACTTAATGCCACAGTTTTCTGACCAGTAAAATGGGGAGAACAATCATACTTCCCTCACTTCACTGTGTTGATAATTAAACAAGGTAGTACATGTAAAGGGTTTAGCGTGGTGCCAGGTACATAGGAATGTCAATTAATCTTAGCTAGAGAATTACTGTTCCTCATCATAGGGTTTTGGCTTCAGCAACTGGTTGGCTGGTACTGTAATTTATAATCAATAATAGTAATTATTATTCTTAATACTATGTGTTCATAGTAGGAATCCCTGTCACAAGCCAGGCTCAATTCTCAGCACTTTATGTATGCTAATCCATTTAATCTTCCTAACAATCCTATGGGACAAGAACAATTATTGTTCCAACTTTATAGACGAAGAAAATGAGCCACAAAGGGTTAAGAAAGTTGCTCCATATCACACAGCTTCTACGTGATAAAACTGAGTTTGAATTCAGACATCCTGGCTGCAGTCTTGCTCTCAGCTCATACACTGTACTGTTCTGTATATGGAAAAAACAGGAGAGGAACCAACTATTAGAGCCCTAATTCTTTGTTTTGTTTTGTTTTTTTGAGATGGAGTCTAGCTCTCTTGTCCAGCTGGAGTAGTGGAGTGGTGTGATCTCAGCTCACTGCAGTCTCTGCCTCCTGGGTTCAAGCAATTCTCCTTCCTCAGCCTCCTCCTCCCTAATTCTTTGTTTTGTTTTGTTTTTTTGAGATGGAGTCTAGCTCTCTTGTCCAGCTGGAGTAGTGGAGTGGTGTGATCTCAGCTCACTGCAGTCTCTGCCTCCTGGGTTCAAGCAATTCTCCTTCCTCAGCCTCCTGAGTAGCTGGGACTATAGGTGCGCACCACTATGCCTGGCTAATAATTGTACTTTTAGTAGAGATGGCGTTTTACTATGTTGGCCAGGCTGGTCTCAAACTCCTGTCCCCAAATGATCCACCCACCTCGGCCTCCCAAAGTGCTGGGATTACAGGTGTGAACCACCGCACCTAACCCCTAATTCTTTGTGTGTGTGTGTGTGTGTGTGTGTGTGTGATGGAGTTTCACTCTTATTGCCCAGGCTGGAGTGCAATGGCACAATCTCGGCTCACCGCAACCTCCGCCTCCAGAGTTCAAGTGATTCTCCTGCCTCAGCCTCTCGAGTAGGTGAGATTACAGGTGTGCACCACCATGACCAGCTAATTTTTTGTATTTTTAGTAGAGACGGGGGTTTTACTTTGTTGGCCAGGCTGGTTTTGAACTCCTGACCTCAGGTGATCCACCCACCTCAGCCTCCCCAAGTGCTGGGGTTACAGGCGTGAGCCACTGCGCCCAGCCGCCTGGCCCCTAATTCTTAAACTGTATCTATTTATTTATTTATCGTGGCCACCCTCCCAACACATCCCATTCCTTCCCAGATTTACATTATCTTCAGCAATGATCACTAATTTCATATATTTTTAAAATGTACTTTGATTATTGTCTGTCTCTCCCACTAAAATGTTAAGCCTCATTACGGTATAATTTTTTTGTGTGTTTTATCCATTGCTGTTTCAGTGTTTGGCTCACAGAGGATACTTAACACGTATCATATGAATGAATGAAAAGATTTATTCTTATCCTCATGGCAACCCTGTGGGCAGACAGTTTCATTCATTTATTCCACTATTACTCTGCCAGGCCCTATGCTAGGTAAAGGCAGGGTGAGGATACAGTAGTGACCGTGCAATAGAAGGCCCCTTCCCTCATAGGGCTCACAGAGTACTGAAGTAGGCAAAACAACAACAACAACAATAAAAGGCAAACACATACATACAAGAATAACAAACTGGCAAGGCTTGAAAGGAAAAGTGCAAAGTGCCTATCATCTCAGTTTCTTTTCATAACGGCATTCTAAGGCAGGTGTTAGGAGGAAACTGAAACCCAGAGAGTAGAAGCCTCTGAGAGCTCCAGTTCAAACCCAGATCTGCTTTATCCAAACCCCATGGTTACTTAGGTCTCGCTTATATTCAATCCCTAGAGAAGTCAGTTATACTCCTGAGACACAGACCAAAAGGCAACTAGACTTTTGGGGGCATAGGTGTCACATTCCCTCGAGGTGGGTATTCTCTGCTGAGGTTGTCACCGTAGCTACTTATAGATGTTTAAACCTGTTCCACTGAGGAAGCACATTGCTTGGCCTCTGGGAGAAGGTGTAGGGACCAAGGAAAAGCTTCCCCCTTGCCCTCTGAAGGTTTGCCAAAAATCAACTGACAAAAGACAGATTACTAGAAGAAAAGGTATACGGCTTTTATTTTATCCTGCATAGCACGGGGGAACTGCAGGAGAATGATGACCCAAACTGAATCTCTTTAGAAAACTAAAGGAGCTTCACCAAAATCATAAAGCCCCTCTCTAGGCAAAAGAAAAAGGATACAGAATTTACCCTGAAAATTTTTCAAATATTCATTCTTTTATTCTTGTTATATTGTGAATAAACTGTCCCCTATACCCATCATCATTCTGTTTTCAAAAGAAGTCCATGCTTTACTGCAATGCAAGTTGGCTTTTTCCTACTCTATGAATTCCCCTGAAGGCCCCTCTAATGGAAGTTCTTCTTTCTCACGTATCTCTGTGGCTCACTGGATGTCTTAGCTTGAGCTGCCATAACAAAATACCATAGACTAGGTGGAGTAAACAACAGAAACTTATTTTCTCACAGCTCTGGGGGCTGGTAGGCTGAAGTCAGGGTGCTAGCATGGTTGGTTCTCATGAGGGCTTTCTTCCTGGCTTACAGATGGTCACTTCTTGCTGTGTCCTCATGTGGCAGAGACAGACAGACAGCAAGCTCTCTGGTATCTCTTCTTATAAGGGCACTATTCCCACCATGAGGAGATTCCCACCAGCTTTATTAAAGTATTGTCTGCTTATAATAAAATTCACCCATTTTAAGTACACAGTTCAATGAGTTTTAACAAATGTTTACAGTCATGTAAATGGCACAAAGTATAAAACATTTCCATCCCTTAAAGAGTTACCCTACTCTCATGATCGAAACCTAATTATCTCCCAAAGGCCCTATCTCCAAATACCATCACCTGGGGGGTTAGAGCTCCAACAGATGAATTCAGGGGAACATAATTCAGTCCACAGCACTGGGGAAGAAAGAACAGGTCAAGATGTCCCTGCTCCTCACTGCTATTTCCAGCCTCTCATTCTAACGCCACAGCTCTACAGCCTTTCCTTTTTGGAATTCTATACCATTTACTCGTCCAGTGCTTTTCTCCAGTCTTACAATAAACTCAAAGATTCTTCTGTCTTCTCGGATGGGATCAATATCTGGTTCATAGTTTCATCTCCCTCTCCCCATCATCCCTAATATCAACATCCACGTTAGTAAATCATCACACATCGAGGCCACAGAGGTCACCAATCTCTTTCCTGATGACTTTCACATCTACTTCTGCTGTCCACTGGACTTAAATGAGTGTGTTCCTTTTCCAAATCCCACACTCTTTTGAGCACTCTTCTTTCTGACCACACCTTCGTATCTTTCCATGTCTCTTCTTCCTCACATTTGTTTAACCTAATTTTTGCCCTTATAATAGCCTACCGTTTTCTGAGACTTTTTGTTCTCACCATTACCACCCTGGTTCCTGCTCTCAGTGTCCCATTTTAGAACTAATGCAACAGAAACCCTCTTCCACATTATACTAAGTGAAAGGAACCAGACACCAAAGACTGCATATTGTAGAGTTTCATTTATATGAAATCCTAGAAAAAGCAAAACTACAGTGATAGAGAACAGATCAATGATTGCTGGGAGGAGGTGGGGAGAGGATGAACTGGCTTGTGCCTCTTTAGGGGATGGAACTATTTTACACTTTGTGTGGTTTCCATGGCTGTAAACATTTGTTAAAACTCACTAGCCGGGCGCAGTGGCTCACGCCTGTAATCCTAACACTTTGGGAAGCCGAGGCGGGTGGATCACAAGGTCAGGAGTTTGAGACCAGCCTGGCTAACATGGTGAAACCCCATCTCTACTAAAAATACAAAAATTAACTGGGCGTGGTGGCAGGTGCCTGTAATCCTAGCTACTCAGGAGGCTGAGGCAGGAGACTCACTTGAACCCGGGAGGCAGAGGTTGCAGTGAGCCGAGATCACACCACTGCACTCCAGCCTGGGCAACATAGCAAGACTCCCCCATCTCAAAAACAAAAACAAAAACAACAACAAAAAAAACCTCACTCAACTGTATATTTAACATGGGTGAATTTTATTATATGCAGACTATATTTAATAAAGCTAATTAAAACAACCTCTATCCAAATACATTTCCTCACTGCTCACTGCATAAAGCCCTTACACTGTAACCTGGGAGTTCAGGCCCTCCCAGATTTGAGCCGAACCTGCGTGTCTAGCTTTATATACAATTAATCCAAGCCTGTCCAACCCACGATCCATGGGTTGCATGTGGCCCAGGATGGCTTTGAATGTGGCCCAACACAAATTCGTAAACTTTCTTAAAATGTTGAGTTGTTTTGTGTGATTTTTAAAAATTTTATTATTTTTTATTTATTTTTAATTTTTTTTGTTTAGCTCATCAGCTATTGTTAGTGCATTTTATGTGTGGCCTAAGACAATTCTTCTTCCAATGCGGCCCAAAGAAGCCAAAAGATTGGACACCCCTGTATTAATCGAATATACGTATAATTTATGTTGAAGCCAAAGAAGCCCACTAGCTGTGTCTTGTAAGTGTTAATGTTCTGCAGCCTCTTTCTCTTTGACCATAGCTTTCTCCAGTTATTTTGAAACGTCTCCTCACCACACCTTATCTACTTATAAAAATTTTACTTTTCCAGCTTGGCATGGTGGCTCACACCTGTAACCCCAGCACTTTGGGAGGCCAAGGCAGGTGGATCACCTGAGGTCAGGAGTTCAAGACCAGCCTGACCAACATGGTGAAACCCCTTCTCTACTAAAAATACACAAATTAGCCAGGCGTGGTGGCAGGAGCCTGTAGTCCCAGCTACTTAGGAGGCTGAGGCAGGAGAATCGCTTGAACCCGGGAGGCGGAGGTTGCAGTGAGCTGAGATCGCACCACTGTCCTCCAGCCTGGGTGACAGAGCGAGACTCCAACTCAAAAAGACAAAAAATTATTTTTCCTTAGACCCCAGCTCAAAAGTTATCTTTTTTGTCAACTTTTCTCTGATCTTTTTGTGTATCTCTCATGCTAGTTACCACATGATGTCCTGTTCATCGTTATTTACATTATCTCATCTTCCTTTCTTATTCATCTTTATATCAAGCAGGATGCCTAGCTACAAACATTTTCCTTTATGGTTTTAACAATGAAATCTACTCTTTTCAAAGAGACAACCTACATAGTTTTCTTAGAATAAAGTACGTACTAGAGGCAGGGAGACAAGACTAGAAGGAAGGAAAGAAGGAAGCAGAGAGGCTTGTTAGGAGACCAGCGGAGCTAGAGACAGCTTGAATTTGGGCCTTACTGGTAGGAAGAGTAAGAGGGAATAAATTTGAGAGATGTTAAAAGGGTAGAAGCAACAGGTCTTTGTTAGTGATCAGTCACAGGAGACAGGAAGAGGCAGGAGTGAAAGATTATCCCCAGATTTCGGGCTTGGGTGACTTGGTAGATGGGGTGGACTAGAATCCAGAAGGAAGAGGAGGATATGAGGCCCGGTGTGTGGGAGGGCTGAAGGTGAGTTGGAACAATGGGTACAGGATGACTTTAGTTTTAGAAATACTAATTTTGAGACTTCTGGAATATCCAAAGAAAGATATTCAGGAGGCAAATGGAGACAGGAGAGTGATGCTCAGGAAAGAGGTGTGATTGGAGGTAAAAATGTATGAATCACCAACACACAGGTAATACTTAAAATCATTTTAAGCTGGGCGTGGTGGCTCATGCCTGTAATCTCAGCACTTCGGGAGGCTGAGGTGGGAAGATCGTTTGAGCCCCGGAGTTCAAGACCAGCCTGGGCAACGTAGTGAGACTGTCTCTTAAAAAAAAAAAAAAATAGAAAAATTAGCCAGGTTCATGCCGGTAGCCCCAGTTACAGGAGAGGCTGAGTAGTGAAGCCCAGGAGGTTGAGGGTGCAGTGAGCTGTGACAGTGCCACTGCACTTCAGCCTGGGTGACAGAGTGAGACTCTGCCTCAATCACTCAAATCATTTTAGGGAAATATGAAATCTCCCTAGGAATGCTTAGGGGGCTAAGAACAGAGGCCCAGCAAATACCCACATCTAGGCGTTGGGGAGAGGCAGAAGAGCTCAAAAAGGAGCCCAGGAAGAGATTAATGAAGAAATAGGGTGAGAAACTAAAGAAAGCATACCAGGAATGGTGGCTCACACTTGTAATCCCAGCACTTTGGGAGGCCGAGGCAGAAGGACTGCTTGAGCCCAGGAGTTGAGGCCAGCCTGGGTAACATGGCAAGACCTCATCTCTACAAAAAAAAATTTTTTTAATTAGGTGAGCATGGTGGTATGCGCCTGTGGTCTCAGTTACTCAGGAGACTGAGACAGGAGGATAGTTTGAACTAGGAAGGTTAAGGCTGCAGTGAGCCATGTATTCATGCCACTGCACTTTAGCCTGGGCAACAGAGCAAGACCCTGTCTCAACAAAACAAAACAAAACAACACACACACACATACAAACACAAAAAAATGAAACTAAGGAAAGCATAATGGAAATCAAGGCAGGAGATTTCCAGAAGCAATAGTTAACACTGTCAAAGGTTGTGGATTGTTCAAATAAAACAAGGATTGAAGAGCACCTGCTGTATTTGGTGATGTTTGTCAGAAGTTTCTAAGGGATGGTAGGTTCAACATGAACTTGAGTGATACAAGACTTAGTTGAATGCCTACCATTGTGTCAAATAGATGATTAGCTTTTGAAATGTGCTGGTTTTTGCTTTCTATTTTTTTATTGTGGTAAAATAAATATAACATAATATTTCTCATTTAACCATTTGTAAGTGTACAATTTGGTAGTATTAAATACATTCACTGCCAGGCGCAGTGGCTCATGCCTGTAATCCCAGCACTTTGGGAGGCTGAGATGGGTTGGTCACTTGAGGTCAGGAGTTCAAGACCAGCCTGGCCAACATGGTGAAATCCCATCTCTACTAAAAACACAACAATGAGCCACTGTAGTGGCGTGCCTGTAATCCCAGCTACTCGGGAGGCTGAGACAGGAGTATTACATGAACCTGGGAGGCGGAGGTTGCAGTGAGTCGAGATTGTGCCACTGCACTCTAGCCTAGGTGAAAGAGCAAGACTCTATCTCAAAAACAAAAACAACAACAAAAATACATTCACAGGGTTGTACAACCATCACCACTATCTATAACTAAAATGTTTTCATCATCCCCACAATGAACTCTGTACCCACTAAACAATGACTTCCCTCTTAGTCCCCGGAGTCCCTGATCACCTCTATTCTACTTTCCGGCTCTATGAATTTGCCTATTCTAGGTACCTTATATAAGTGGAATCATATATTTGCTCTTCTGGGTCCAGCTTATTTCACTAAACATAATTTTTTCAAGGTCCATCCATGTTGTAGCATATATTACAATGTAATTGCTTTTTATGACTGAGTTTTCCACCGTATGTATATGCTACCTTTTGTTTAACCAGTCATTTGTTCATGAACACTGGGTTGTTTCCACCTTTTGGCTACTGTTAATAATACTATGAACAAAGTTACAGAGATATCTGTTCAAGTCCCTGCTTTCAATTGCTTTAGGTACACACCTAAGAGCGGAATTGTTGGGTCAAACGGTAGTTCTATGTTCGATTTTTTGAGGAATGGCCATACTGTTTTCCACAGCGGCTGCAACGTTTTACATTCCCACCAGAAATGCATGAGGGTTTCAATTTCTCCACATCCTTCCCAACACTTGTTATTTTCCATTTTTTTCTATTATAACCATCCTGGTGGGTATGAAGTAGTATCTCATAGTTTTGATTTGCATTTCCCTAATGATAATGATGCTGATGTTGAGCATCTTTTCATGTGTTTGTTGGCCATTTGTACATTTCTATACCTTCTCTGGAGAAATGTCTACTCAAGTACTTTGCTATTTTTTATTTTTATTTTTCGTAGATTACTGGAGTTCTACAGACATACATGTAATATACACATATTATATATTTGTTATTTATCATACCTCATTATTCATATAGCAAAACATGTAAGTTGAGACTCAAGTGCTTTGCTATTTTTGACTTTTTGTTGAGTTATTGGAGTTCTTTATATATATAATATGTATACATTATATATATAAAGTGGTTATATTTATTATACCTCATTATTCACATAAGATCTTCTTTGATACAAATAACATAATCTTCTTTGATACAAATAACATCATTTATTTGTATCAAAGAAGGTCTCAACATATATTTTGTTATGTGAATAACGAGGTATAATAAAACAAACACAATCAAATACCTGTCAGAGTCTTGAAAATCTTTTTTATTAAGAAACCTACATGTGTTGATGGATGGTGATTTTACTCATTGTTGAAATATGCTTTATTACTACAGAATTTAAGCAATAACATATTTCTTTTCTTTCACTCATTTTCTCAATAAGTAAAACACTTTCCTTGATACTTCAAAAACTGAGAGGTGCTTTATTATGCTTACTTTCCAGTGGTTCTTTCTCTAAATGGGAATCCTCTGGTGCATCAAAACGACCTTCTGGTAACTTTGGCTTCTTAAGGGACTGTTTGACAAGTTCAGACTTTCCTCCTTGAGAAGAACTTGTTTTCCTCAGAGAATGACACAAAAGGGGTGATCCTAGAAGAGTGGAGATAATAGAAAATTAGGAGCTTTTCATTTATTCCACTTTAAACATTTATAAAATTTTGTTTATTTGTTTTTAGTTCATACATTCACATTTCTCAAAGTTCAAAAAGTACCAAAGGATGTAGAGTGAAAATTCTTCCTTCCTGTCCAGCCATTTCCCTTTCTGGAAGACCACCAGTTTGAAAAGAAGGGCTATGAAATAAATTAATCATTATCAATATTGTAGAAACTTATATTAAAACATTAATTCCTATCTAAAGCAATGCCAAAAAACCAGGAGTTCAAATATTAAGAGTAACTTAGTACAAACTTTTCAATGACAATATTTAGTATTCAAATCTCTAAAAGTCAGAAGTGGCTACATTTAAATCCTAATCAAGGTCCTCTTTTTCTGTCAACTAAAATTTTAAGAATACATCAAGTTGGGCACGGTGGCATGCACCTGTAGTCTCAATTACACAGGAGGCTGAAGAGGGAGGACTGCTTGAGCCCAGGAGCTCAATTCTAGTCTGGGTAACATAGTGAGACCATGTCTCTAAAAATACATTGTTTTATGGGGGAAAGAAGTCCCTATTTGATAAATGGTGCTGGGATAGTTGGCAACTATGTGCAAAGCAATGAAACTGAACCCCTATTTGTCACCACATACAAAAATTAACTCGAGATGGATTAAAGATTTAAATGTAAGACCTCAAACTGTAAGAATCCTAGAAGAAAACCTAGGAAACACTATTCTGGACATTGGTCTTGGGAAATAATTTATGACTAAGTCCTCAAAAGCAACTGCAACAACAACAACAAAAAATTGACAAATGGGACCTAATTAAACTAAAAAGCTTTTGTAGAGCAAAAGAAACTATCAACAGAGTAAACATACAACCTACAGAATGAGAGAAAATATTTGCAAACTACACATCTGAGAAAAGTCTCATATCCGGAATCTATAAGGAGCTTAAACAACTCAACAAGCAAACAACAACCGCACTAAAATACGGACAACAGACATGAAGAGACACTTCTCAAAAGAAGACATACAAGCGGCCAAGAAACATATTTAAAAATGCTCCACATCACGAATTAGTAGATAAATGCAAATTGAAATCATGGGAGACCATGTCATATCAGTCAGAATGGCTATTATTAAAAAGTTAAAAAACAACAGATGCTGGTGAGGCTGTAGAGAAGAGGGAATGCGTATATACAGCTAGTGGGAATGTATCTTAGTTCAGCCACTGTGGAAAATAGTTTGGAGATTTCTCAAAGTACTTAAGGCAGAACTATCACTTGACCCAGCAATCCTGTTACTGGGGATATACCCAAAATAAAACTACTCATTTTTCACACCAAAAAGACACATGCACTTGCATGTTCACTGCAGCACTATTCAGAATAGCAAAGACACAGAATCAACCTAGGTGCTCCTCAGTGGTGGACTGGATAAAGAAAATGTGGTACATATATACCATGGAATACTATGCAACCATAAAAATAATGAAATCATGTCCTTTGCTGCAACATGGATGCAGCTGGAGGCCATTATCCTAAGTGAACTAATGCAGGAACAGAAAACCAAATATTGCATATTCTTACACATAATTTTCTAATTCTACAGAGTGAAACACTGGATACTCAGGAACATAAGGCAACAATAGAAACTGGGTACTACTGTGGGGGAGGGAAGAAGGGGATGCAAGGGTTGAAAAACTAACTTTTGGGTACTATGCTCATTATCTGTGATGGGATCATTCATATCCCAAATCTCAGCATCACACATAAACCCAGGTAACAAACCTGCACGTGTATCCCCTGAATCTAAAATAAAACTTCGGATTTTAAAATGTACTGGGTGTCTGCAATGTGTAAATGAGATCGTTTTCTCTCTAGTTTCTAAAGAGAGTTGAACTTTCAGTGCTATGAAAGTTATACAAACCCTCACCGAGATAATATTCATAAGGGAAAAACCACAGGGAAAAAAGTGAGCTCAGTGTTAGGGGTTTTCAGCTTCCTAAAGAAACTGCTTTAGAAGCAGACAAATTTGGGTACAAGCTCCAGCTACACCCCTGTGGCAAGAATAATGGCCTCAAAGATAATCAGAATCCAATACCCAGAATCTGTGAACAGGTTTGGTTACATGGTGAAGAATTTTGGTAGCAGACAGAATTAAGGTGGCTAATCAGATGACCTTAAAATAGGGAGATTATCCAGGATTATAGGGTGGGTCAATGTAACCACAAGGGTCCTTTAAAAGGGAAGAGAGGTTGGAAGACAGACCAGACCCGATGCTGCAGGCTTTGAAGGTGGAGGAAGGGGGCAAGCCAAGGAATGTTGGCAGCCTCTAGAAGCTAAAAGAGAGAAGGAAATGGATGCAGCTTCTAGAAGGAACACAGCCCTGCTAACTGCCTGGTTCCAGCTCAGTGCAACCCCTTCCAGACTCCTGATCTCCAAAACTGTAAAATGTGTTAAGCCACTAAATTTGTGGTAATATGTTATAGCAGCAATAGGAAACAAATGCAACCACTTACTAGGTGTTGGATGTTGGTCAAGTTACCCTTTCTGTTTCCTTTCCTCTGAATAGAAAAATCACAGTACCTATCACATGAGATTGCTGAATAAACGGGACAATTTATGCATTTAGTATAGTGACAAACAGTATTTATTGTTATTTTGATGGAATATCTGTAAGCCCTTGACAGCATTACATATGTTTTTTCATTACACATATTTTTCTCATATTCTAGTCATCACTACATAACCCAACCTCGTTTAAAGAAATAGACACAAACACATGCATACAAGTGGTTAAGATAAATGAATGGGTGTATGTCTGTGTATGTGTACACATTGAGTAAGTGCATCAATAACTTGAGCTTAACTCTGGGATGCATAAGTTAATTTGCGTAAGGGTTTCTGGTGAAGGACAGAAAACTGGATCTTGGGGAAAGCAAGGAGTAGCAAAGTGTAAGTTGGAGAAATTGGTCCCTAATATGACTTTGCAGACTTCTGAAAGACTTTATCTGTAGAAAGAGGGTTTACAAGGAAAAGTTGAAAGACAAGTTTTCTCAAGGAACTCTGAGGCCATTGGAAACACAAGCAGAACTATTTTTGTAGTCAGGTAACAGTGTGACAGAACACAGGGGAAGATAATGCCCCTCATTTCTGTACAGTACAATATAAGATGGGACACAGTGCTCCTTAGTACCTACAGGCTTTACAGCTTTGGACACAAGCGTGTGCACATAAGTCTGCCAGGGGTGTTGGTAATGAAGCATATACATGTAGCTTTAAAGGCAGACCATAAGAAACAAGGGCGTGTCAGATGAGGAGTTAAGCCCAAGGACCACTCCTGTTAACTCTGCCTATTAAATAGTAGGTGTTGAGCAATAGTAACTGTATTCATGTTAATATTGCATTTTGGCTATCAGCAGACTTCTGACTACCTCGACTACATGGGAAATAGCTGACAAACTTAAAACAAAAGGCTCTTTTAACAACATCAGGAAATAACAACCACAAAGCCCATGTCTTCTACTTCAAGGGGTGGTTTGACTTTATCCAAACCTAGTTAGAATTGTGCTTACATGGACATAACAGACAAGAAGAAAACCTTCTAAAAGAAGAAATAATAAAAGCAAAAGAATGACTCTCTTTCTCTCTCTCTCTCTCTCACACACACACACACACACACACAACACACAACCCAAAACTTTTCTCTGGTACTTTGACAAATCAGAAATGCCAAAACTCTACAGTCATAAAATACCTAAAAAGGTAAAACAAAACCAAACCCCCTCTAAATCAGAGATAGAACCTTTATGAAAGTAAATAATGATAAACTGCAAAGACAGTCCAGTGAGGTAAACACAAAGTGAAACGGCTACACTTCTTGTGTCTTTCTTTTTTGAGACAGAGACAAAAAAAATTAGCCACCAAACCCAGCTAAGTTTTTGTATTTTCAGTAGAGACGGAGTTTCACCATGTTGACCAAGCTGGTCTTTTTTTTTTTTTTTTTTTTTTTTCAGAGTCTCACTCTGTGCCCCAGGCGGCTGGAGTGCAGTGGCATTATCTCAGCTCATTGCAACCTCTGTTTCCAGGGTTCAAGGGATTCTTGTGCCTCAGCCTCCCAAGTAGATGGGATTACAGGCACCCACCAATACACCAAGCTAATTTTTGTATTTTTAGTGGAGACGGGGTTTCGCCATGTTGGCCAGGCTGGTATCAAACTCCTGACCTCAAGTGATCCGCCTGCTTTGGTCTCCTAAAGTACTGGGATTACAGGCGTGAGCCATGGTGCCCAGCCTTCTTGTGTCTTTCTTGCCTAGAGCTTGGGATATAGAGCTTTCAGGACAGCAGGGAGATGACAGTCTCTTAAACCCAAGCAAACAGAAAGCGTATTAGAGGCCAGGACTCAGGGAGGCTCACAGACTGAGAAAAGAAAGTGAACCAGAAGATTTTTGTTGTTTTTTGAAACAGGGTCTTGCTCTATTGCCCAGTCTTGAGTGTAGTGGCACAATCATGGCTCATGGTAGCCTTGATCTCCTGGGCTCAGCCTCAGCCTGCCTCAGCCTCCTCAGTAGCTGGGACTACAGCGACGCATCACCATGCCCAGCTAATTTTATTTTTCGTAGAGATGGGCGTCTCACCATGTTGCCCAGGCTGGTCTTGAACTCCCGAACTCAAGCAATCCTCCTGCCTCGCAAAGTGCTGGGATTACGCGTGTGAGCCACCACACCCAGTTGAAAGATTTAAAACATAGATAAAAACCACCTGGGGGATTTTGTTAAAATGCAGATTCTGAGTAGTTCTAGGTGGCATTTGTGATTCTTGCATTTTAACAAGCTTCCAGGTGATGATTATGCTGCTATTCCAAATAGCAAGGAACTAGAAGACAGTTAAGGAAGGAAAAGTATCTACTTTAACCTTGGTTCTGAGTGAAGATGTGAAAAAAAGAAGCCCCTCTGAGATTTTGAAGCCACTGGCTGACCCACACCTGT